TTTAAATCCTCTTTGCTTTTGGCAAGCAAGGTTGTATCATCTGCATAATGAGTCTTCCTCCAATCCTGATGCCACCTGGGTTCTTCTTCATATAATCCAGTGTCTTGGATTATTTGCTCAGCACACAGATTGACTTGAATAAGTATGGTGAAAGAATACAACTCTGGCAATACCTTTCTTCATTTTAAACCATATAGTGTCCCCTTGTTCTGTTTGAATGACTGCTTCTTGGTCTATGTACAGGTTCCTCATGAGCACAATGAAGTGTTCCTGAAAACTCAATGTTGTCCAAAGCATGTCATGACCCACACAATCAGACGCCTTTGCATAGACAGTAAAGCACAGGTAAGCGTCTTTCTGGTATTCTCTGAGGTCAGCCAAGATCCATCTGAGGTCAGCAATCATATCCCTTGTTCCACATCCTCTTCTGAGTCCTGCTTAAATCTCTGGCAGTTCCCCGTCAAGGTACTGGTGCAGCTGGTTTTGTATTGTCTTTAGCAAAATTTACTTGCATGCAATATTAATGTTATTATCTGGTGATTTCTGCATTTAGTTGGGTCACCTCTCTTTGGAATGAGCACACATTAGGGTCTCTTCCAATCATTTGGCCAGATAGTTGTCTTTCAAATTTCATGACATAGATAAAGTGAGTACCTCCAGTGCTTCATAAGTTTGTTGAAAGTTTTCAATTTGTTTTCCATCACTTCCCGGAGCCTTGTTCTTTGCCAGTGCCTTCAGTGCTCCTTGGACTTTTTCCTTTGGTACCATTGGGTCTAGATCATATGCTACCTCTTGAAACGGTTGAACATCGACCATTTCTTTTTGGCACAGTGACTTTGTGTATTCTTTCCAGCTTCTTTGGATGCTTTCTACATCTTTCATATTTTGCCATGAGAATCCTAATTTCCCACAGCTCTTTCAGCTTGAGAAATGCTGAGCGTGTCCTTCCCTTTTGGTTTCCTACATCCAGGTTTCTGCACATTGCATTGTAATTCTTGACTTCTCAAGCTGCCCTTTGAAATTTTCTGTTCAGCTCTAGTACCTCCTCATTTCTTCCATTTGCTTTGGCATCTCTACGTTGGAGAGCAAGTTTCAGAGTGTCTTCTGACATCCATTTTGGTCTTTTCCTTCTTTCTTGTCTTCTTCATGACCTTTTTTTCTCTTCTTGTATGGTATTCTGGATGTCATCCACAATTCTTCTGGTTTTTAGACATTAGTGTCTAATTCATCAAACCTGTTCTTCAGATGATCTCTAAATTCAGGTGGGATATGTTCAAGGTCATATTTTGACTCTCATAGACTTATTTGTAATTTTCAGCTTTAGCCTGAACTTGCGTATGAGCAATTCATGGCCTGTTCCACAGTCTGTCCCTGCCATTATTTTGGCTGGTGCTATTGGTACTATTTCACTATTCAATGTTCTGGTGGTATCTGAAAGTGTTGCACTGTTATTCAGAAGGTTTTCAATGACTAATCATTCTGAAGCAGTCTGCCTCTCCTTCTTCGGAAAGCTCAGCTGAAACCTGTCCTTCATGGGTGACCCTGCCAGCATTCAGAAGACCCATGGCCTAGCTTCCAGTATCGCAACAACATGCAAGCCACCCCAGGACAACACACGGACAGACGAGTGGTAGAGAAGGCCTTCAGCAGAGCCCCGTCTGAGCTTGAGGAGCCCCGATGGGCAACGGTTACACACTGAGCTTCTAACAGAAAGGCCAGTGGTTTGAACCACCAGATTCCTGGCAAGAGAAAGATGAGGCATTCAGCTTCCATAAAGATTCACGGCCCTGGAAACCCTGGGTGGTAGTTCTTCTCTGTCCTCTGTGGGCACTGAGTGGTGATCCAGCCAGCAGGAATGGGTTTCATTTCGTTTATTTAAAAGTCAGCCTTATAAATGGACTCGATCAGCTAAGTACCAGCCCTGCCTAACTGACGGGGCACTGGGCCCTGGACTGAGGTTCTGACCACAGCCCTGTAGGAGCTGACAGAGAGCTTAAGTCACCTTCCCAAGGCCACACAGCAAAAGCCTGGGCTCTTTCACACCCTGCCCTGCCATGTGGTTGGGTGAGGCCCAGGGGCATCGCTCCATGTTGAGGGAAGGCACTGTGCTTGGTGGGAGCTGGGAGTGGGGGTCCTGCCTGCCCACCTCCCCATCACTCAGACGTCCTTCCGTTGATGCGTGGAGCGTTTCCAACACTGTCCAGGTCTGCCTTCTGTCATTGGTGCTGACCTGGGGACCAGGTGTCCACACAGCTCTGTCCCTTGTGAGGTCTGCCCCTTGTGAGGTCCCTGTGGGTGTGGGGAGAAGCCCGCCACAGCTGTCACTGAGCTCGTGCCAATGCCTCCATGTAACTTTGACACCCAGGACGGGACGGGCCCTCAGCAGCGTCTTCACTCCTTCTGCAGTTTGACCTGAGTCCTGGAGAGACAGGAACCCCCGCTCTTGGGGGCTTTCAGTGCGCCGGGCACATGTTCCTCCTCACAGCCCGTTAGGGAAGCCCTCTTCTCATACTCAAGGAGCCCTGGTGGCCAGTGGCTGTTTGGCTATTGACTGCCCCTCAGCATGAACACCTAGCCATTTGCTTGTGTGAAGATTACGGCCTAGAAGGCCCCATCATGGTTCAAATCTCTTCTGTCACACTGAGGCGTGAGTTGGAGTCAGCTCAGTGGCACCTCACCACAGCAGTGTGAACCCCACTTAGTGAGAAAGAGAAGCACACGCAGCGTTAGTGACCTGCCATCACCCACACTCTCGGGGTCAGGCAACACAGGATCTGAATCAGCATGTCTGCCAGTCAGCCTTCCACCTGGCCTGTGGCTGCTTCCTACCTCACTCCACAGACGGGCCGTGCGGTGCACAGGCTCGCGATGTACCCAGCCCAGACAGTCAGGCCATGACCTCGTCCACTTAAGCCCCACCAGACCCCAGGAGGTGGCAGCCCCACACATGTGTGTGGGAAACAGGGTCGGTTGGTTGGAACATGGCTTCGTTGTCTCCTGGTCTTTGGGACTTCGTCTGAATGGAGACTGCTTTCATTCCAGCTCCTGGTCTTGCCATTTGTTTCTCCGCCGAGTCAGGTACTTCTCAGGTTCCATCATGAACTCGTGGACTCAAGGACTCAAGGAAGTCAGCTCCCTCTCCTTCCACTGTGTGGCTGACAGCACTTCCGAAGCCACAGTTACCGAGGGGACAGAGAGGAAGTGCAGGCCCTCAGGATGGGAGGAAACAAAGGCACATTGCACTAAGAAGCCGCTGCCCTCCCTCGTTCATTTTAAGAACAGTGTCTACGCTGTGCATGAAAGGACTGTATCTGAAAGAGCTCTCGTTTGTCGTTCAGTGCCATGGAGCCTGTTCTAACTCATAGCGACCCTGTGTTAGGTTTCCGAGGCTTTAAATCTTCTCAGGAGCAGAAAGCCTCATCTTTCTCCTGAGGAGTGGCTGGTGGGCTCGAACTTCAGACCTTGTGGTTCGCAGTGCAGTGCTCATAGTATGGAACCACGTGCTCCCATTAAAAAAGGTAGGGCTGTTAGGAAAGTTCTAAGAAAATTCTCCCCAGCCCCACACCACTGAGAATCGGTGACTCAGCCCTGCAGACTGAAGTCCTTCATGTTTGCACAGCTGTTGGCCTGAGGGACGGGCAAGGTGGCAGCAGAACTGATACTTGTAACTCAGAAGTGACATGTGAATTCTGTTCAGGATCCTCGGTGGTGCAGGTTTACAAGGGCCACCAACAAAACCATGTCAGCACGGCAGCCTGCCGGGGTGCCCCAGCCCTGAAGTGGGGGAAGACAAGTCCATGAGGAGGGCAGTGCTGCGGGCACAGGGACTTTGTCAAGAGAGGAAGGGACACTGGGAAGCGCTGAGAGGCCAGCACCCAGGAGGCAGCTTGGCCAGTCTGAGGGACCAGCAGGTTCTCCCCAGCTGAGGCCCAGCTCTGCTTCCAGAGGGAGGGAGGCAGGCGGCCACCCTCAGCAGTCATCCCCAGCAGTCAGATGGGATTGGCATTTTAGGGGAGCGGAGACTCCGGTGGAAGGAAGCGGGGAGGCCGATGTGAAGAGTACCAAAGAGAGTGGGCACTGCCGGTGATGGACGAGGGCTGCCCCCAACCCCACCTAGTGTGGTGTGAGCAGGGCAAAGGCGTGAGGTGGACGTGTGGGAGGTGTGGACGGGAGGCACCAGGGGGCAGTGGGCAGATGTGGAGGGAAAAGGAGTAAGGTGGGACCATGTGGGAGGCACGGACGGGAGGCACTGGATGAACATGCGGGCTCCTCCCTGCGGAGATGAGAGCAAGCCCGGGGCTGGACTGAGGGAATCCTGCCCCAGGAAGGGCCCATAGCCATGGCGTGGTGCTGAGTTAGTGACAGACCAGATCGCCAGTGTGTGTGGGGCCAGGGCCTGCTGTGTTCCCACATAACACCACTCAGGCCACGTGAAAGGAAGCCCGGTTCCCGCCTTCAGGAAACATGTGCTCTAGTTGTACAAGGAGTGTGAGACCCGCAGCCTATTACCCAGCAGAGAATGATGGAGACTTCCAGAAAACGCTGCACCATGGTTAGGATGAGAGCAGCCTCCACCTCTGGAGCCAGGGAAGGCCACCTGGAGAAGGTGGTCTCTGAGCTGTGGCAAGAAACTTTCCTGGCCCAAAGCCATAGGGAAGCTTCCAGAACTTCCTTTGCTTTGGCCAGAGTGATTGGCCTCCTGACAGCTCAGCCCTGCCACTCCCTGTTGTTGGGCTACCCCTACCTGCCTGAGCCCAGGATGCAGATGACCATGACCCCGGTGCCCTGATAGCCTACCTCCTTCCCTATGCCTTCCCCTCCTCTAGAGCTTCCCCAAACCAGAGACCAGAGGGTGGGACGGTGACAAGGTGGCCCACTGACGTCCCTGTGGTCCTCTGGGTTTCTGCTTTCCCCGGGGGTGTGGGGGGGCACGGGGAGGGCCAGCTGTGAGGAAAGGACCAGAGTCCAGGTTGACATCACATGTGCTTGTCTCCTCACAGTTTGAACAAGAGAACCAGCGACTCATCAGTGAAATGAACAGCCTGTTTGATGAAGTGAGGTACATCATGCCGTGTGAGCCCATGGCCTGCTTACAACTTTGCACAACGAGGAAGTCTGTGTCCAGCAGTGGCCTGCGTGGCCCTGTGCAGCTGGAGTGTAATTAGCAGCAGCACGTGGCCTATTTACATTTAATGACCAACACGCAACAGAAGTCAGGGCTGCGTCTGCATGCAGCTCAGTGACCCCCTCAGAGTCAGTGCAGGGCCTGGTCTTCAGGAGTGTGACCGCTGGCCCGCTGCTGTACACGTCCAGGCATCTTGCTGCGGCCTGGGGTATTTGGAGATCCCAGAAATAAGGCTGTTTGTGGCATTGGGGTGGCAGCCCAAAAGGAAAGCAGGTCCTGATGTTGCCCTCAGGCTCCCAGGGCAGGGGCGTGTCTCAGAGGGCCCCTCCCCTGGCATTACACCCCAGAGATGGAGCTGGTTTGTCCTCCACTCAGCTCGGTCCCGGCCTGGCAACTCTGTCTGCCTTCCAGGTCTCCCAGAGCGGCTCTGCCCTCCCAGAGCCCCAGCCTGTAGCAGAACTTAGCACTGAGCCAACTGTACGTGGGCCACCCTGGACCCGAGCTGAAGTGTCCATGCCACTAGGACATCATCTGGCCGAGTTGGCAGGGCGCTAGTCTTGAGTGAGAGAGTGGACCCTTGTTGTCCCTGCACCAGGCTGGTTTCTCCTGCTGTTGTAATGAGCTCAGGTGTCAGTGTCTCCACCTAAAGTGTCCTTGTGCACTGCTTACGTGGAGACAGTGACCATTACCCAAACCCACTGCCATCGGGTCGGTTCCAACTCATAAGGAGCTTGTTCAGGTATCCCAGGCCATGAGTCTGCTCAGGAGCACACAGCTTTATCTGTCTCCTGGGGGGCGGCTGGTGGGTTTGCACCACTGACCTTGTGGCTAGCAGTCTGGTGCTGTCCAGCAGCACAGCCACCAGGGCTCCGGTGAGCGGCACACAGCATTGGGATGAAGACCTGCACCACGTGAGCTCACCACGAGAGCCGCAGGGAAACAACCCTGTGTGCGTGGCCATGCGTTCAAACCCGGGCTCCTCGAAGGTCAACTTAGACATGGATCTCCAACTGCGCGGGAGTCAGTGCCTCTGACCCTGCGTTGTTCATGGGTCAGCTGTGCACGCCTTCCTTAACCTGCAGCTAAGTGACCATGAGCATATCCTGACATCTGAGTCCCCACCAATATTCAGGGTGTGACTCTGGCCACAGGACCCCAAGGAGACTCAGTGTTTTGTAACCAGGGCAAAGCTGGTGCCACAGCCTAGGACCACCTGGTTCAGAATACAGTGGGGGGCACACACCCCACACCTCTGGATGTCACGGGTCTGTTTACACAGTACCCTGATGGTGCTGAGAGAAAGCAAGGTGAACTTGTATGTAGGACTGACCTGGGCCTGCGTCCTCCCTACTGACACAGCGTCTCCCCTTCCCCTTCACGTTAAAGGAGACCGCATACAGAAGTGTGTAAAGTTCCCCTGAAGTGACCCCTAGAATCATTAACATGGGATCTGTTCTCTCCTCTTTCCCTGAAGGCAAATTGAAGGAAAAGTGGTTGAAATTTCCAGACTCCAAGAAATATTCACAGAGAAGGTTTTGCAACAGGTAAAAAAAAAAAAAAAAAAGTTCTAACTTTAGCTTAAAAGAAAAACGTGCTAAGCATTCAGGACACATCTGAAGCCCGGGGTCTCCTTGGCATGTGGTGACCAGTGTCCATGGGTGGGCATTCCTCTTGCTGCCCTAGAGAAAGTGGGCGTGGAAGGAAGTCTGCTCTGGAGGGGGTGGGGGTTGTCCAGGCAGCTCTGTGGCCCACCTATCTGTCCACTGGCTCTTCTCTCTGGGCTACATCCTAGCTCTAAGCTGGAGGTGACCCCTTAAGGATGTCCGTCCATCCATATGTGTGTGTGTGTGTTCTAGGGGGCCTCCAAACGTAGCATGTTCTCACAGGAAACACCCCCACTCTTTTCAGGGAAAATGTGACAGAGCTTCAAAAAGTGAATGAGAAAATGTAATTAAAGATAATGGAATTTTTCCATGAGCTTTTTGAAGCCCACTCAGATCTCCCAACTGCGTTGTCCTGAAACTCTTTCAGCCAGTAACTGGTAAAAAGTTCCGAGGCCTGAGGAATGGTCCCTTTCCCTCTCAGCGTCCTCAACCTGTGAAAGGGTGGGAAGGACAGTCCTCTTTCTCTTCTGTGTTAGAGGGATGGCTGGGCTAGGGCCCTTCCCTCACAAAGCCACCCTTCCCAGACTTCACAGCCAGAGGCAGATGCTTGCTAAGTGCCAGGTGTTAAACCTAAGAACACATTGGAAGGTGGGTTCACAAGCGTGAAAGCAACTATTCCAGCACGTGTACGCTACACCGGATTTGGCGAAGTTGCTGCCTTGGTGTAGAATTCTCAGTGTGACGACCACCCACTCAGCTGCATGTCACAGGCAGGCAGGTCCTCAGGCTCCCGAGTCCCAGTCCTCAGCTACAAATTGGGGCTGTGGTCACCTGCCATGCCCTCCCAGCTAGTGGACAGGAAGGGCCAGCCTAGTGAGCAGGAAGTACTGGCTAGTGGACAGGGAAGTCAGCACATCAGGCCCAGGAGAGCCGCTCAGTGTGTGGAAATGGCTAGCCCCTTAGCAGTGGATGCAGACCAGCCTGGGCAGTGTGTGGCTCAGCACCCCCACCACCCCCCCTCAGCAGCCGGAACACATGCTACGTGTGGACACGCCAGAGCCATGAGGGCTGTGGACTGGTGCCCAGGTCTGAGTTCTTACTGGGAGCCCCTCACCGTGGACACTGGGCTCCATGTGAGGAGTTGTGCGGAGCAGAGAACAGCCATTGGCCTGCCTGTCTGGCGGAGTTTCTGCCGGTTTTCAGCCTCTCATAGCTGTGCTGTCTCCCGGGCCTTGTTTGCTCACCTAGGATCCACAGCGGGGATCAGTTAGCGTCCACTTCAGCTTTCACCAAGGAAGTGAGGCCAGCAACCCCATGTGTGTGGGGTGACAGTCATCACCCGGACCAGCCAAGCGCCCACCCCCACGCCTCCTACGGCTGTCACGCCAGCTCCCGCTCCCTCGGCCCTGCCTGCAGGTGTCAGCCAGATGTGACAGCGAGTGAGGCCAAGCCCATTTCTCACGCTTTGTATGTGTGGGGAGCACACATGTTGGTCTTTAAATGCTCCCTCCTTTTCAAGAGATCCTGGTCAGTGAGACAGTAAAACACAGCCTGTTCTGAAGCATCTTTCTCTGGAGTGGGTAAAGCAGAAGCCGCTCTAGGAGGGCCCTGGTAGGTGGGGGCCAGGGAGAGGCCACAGGGTTGTGGGAGCGAGCCCAGGCAGGGCCGTCCAGCAGGGGGCGCACTGACCACCCTCCTCTCAGTGCAGACTCCTGGTTGCTGTGTGACTTAGGGCAGGCAAGTTGTTAAACCTCTCTGAGCCTTTATAAGAGGCTGAGCCTTGTCTGGGGTGCTGTGGGGATTCGTGGTGAATGCATGTAAGCACCTTGTCCTTGGGAAGGAGCCCTGGTGGTACAGTGAGTCAGGCACACAGCTGTAACTGACAAGTCTGAAGTTCAAAGCCACCAGCTGCACTTCCGTAAAGACAGGCAGCCTTGGAGACCCTCTGGGGCTGTGTGTGGGCAAAGATGCAGGGACGGTGGGCGGGTGGGTAACTCTCCTGAGGCGAGATGCACTTTCTCCCACAGGAAGCGGAGATTGACAACATTCACCAGCTGGTTGTTGGGGCGACTGAGAACATCAAGGAGGGTAATGAAGACATCAGAGAGGTGGGTGCTCCAGGTCTGGCAGGGGGTTCTCGCTATGAGGGTGCCCAGGCTGGGGTGAGCCCACCTATATGCACTGGGCCTGCCCACCTCCATGTTCTCCCACCAGAGAACATCAGAGCAGCTCCCCAACCAGGGAAGCCCAGGCCCATGGGGCCCCGCCCTGGCCATTGTCTGGGGGGGATGGCCCCGGCCCCTGCCAAGTGGGCCCTGAGGTCAGGTGGACATTCTTGGAGCCATAAAGTCCAGGGCCCACATGGTTTCTTTGAGCAAGTTCTGGGCTATGTCCCCCCAGAAGGATGTGCAGGGACCCCTGGTTTGGGTTGAACAGTGAGGGGCACCCCCTCTTTTTGCTCAGTGGCTCCACCATAGTTGGGGGCCGCGAGAACACGAGTGCCACACTCCTGGTGACGCCCCGCTCTGCTGTCCCCAGGCCATCAAGAACAACGCCGGCTTCCGCGTGTGGGTGCTCTTTTTCCTCGTCATGTGCTCCTTCTCCTTGCTTTTCCTCGACTGGTACGACAGCTAGCCAGACGCGCAGGACCCACAACGGCCACATGGCGCAGGGCAAGGGGTGGGGCCGGGCAGACACGGAAGCAGTGGTCGTGTGGCGGTCGGTGGTGGCCCTGAGAGTCTTCACTTCAGTTCCAACGCACAGTGACCCTGCTCCGGGTTCCCAAGGAGCGATTGGTGGGTTTTAACTGCCGACCTTGCGGTGAGCAATCCAGAGCTTATCCTATAGCGCCACTCCAGTGTAGCCGTCATCAGCAAGGTCAATTAAATGGGGAGACTGCTGTTACTAACTGCACCCAAAGGGGAGCAGAGGGTCCCCAGCTGACCTCCCCTCCCCCTCCAATAGTCCAGGGGGACCCCAGCAGCACCTTCTCACAATAAACTCACGCTGCCTTCTGGGTCTTGTGGCTTTTCCTGAGTCGGCGAGTACTGGTCGGATTGTAGAAAAGGAAAAATGGAACAGTGTTCAAGACGGTACTGGGCATCTTGTCCGTGCGTCCGGCTCATGTGAGCCAAGGAGCAGCAGGCTGGGGGTATTGGGGGAGGCCGCCTAGGCCGACACCCCCTGGAGCTGCTGCCCCCAGCCCTGTGATGACAGGACTGGGGGGATCCCAGGAGCCTCTGTTCAGAGGACACGGGTCCGCAAGCAGGCCTGCTCTCCTGCCCTTTAGGAAATGTAAACAGCTGAGAACATTTGGAGCCACCTCTGTGCAGAGCGGACTCATGTCTGCAGGCACCTCTTGGCGAGGCCCCAGGTACTTCATACTGGTCTTTGGAAGCATAAGGACTGCACAGACACATCCACGGGCAGCTGCATCGTCTTGTGCTCATCACTTACACAGAATGGAATTCCCAGCATGCCCCGGGAGGGACTTAGAGGGAGTGAAGCCTCTGTACTGTGCTGACCCGGGGTTGAGTGGGACCATGTATTTATATCCAGGACAAGTTTGAACACGTTTCCACCTTACGCCTCCACCACACTGCACAACACCCTCCCGACCCTGTGTGGGGCACAGCTGTAGGAAGCATGTGCCCATCAAGTGGCAGTCACTTGTGCGGTCACATATCCCTCAGGCCATCTCGGGGGTAATTGTCATGGCCCTGGCCACTGTCCCCACACCTGTTCAAAGCAGAACCCACACCCCCGGTCGCTCATTTTTGATCTAGGAACACAGGGGGCCTGCTGACACGTCCCCAGAAACCACAGGTTCACATCACGTGGAAGAAAACGCCAGCAGAGATCTTGTTTTCTATTTAATTGTGTTACACTGAAGTTGATCTAACTGGCCACTGTGTAAACATGTACTTAAATGTCAGGATTCAAATTGAAACATTTCTTTACAAAGATTGTGGATCGAAATCTCATAACTGGATGCGCATGGTCCCCGTTCCCCCCTCCCCTCCCACAGCCTCTCCACAGCCCCCCCGCCCTTCTCACATCTCGGTCATTCTGTCTGCTTCTCGCCTGCTTACAGCAACAATGCCCCCCCCCCCAGCTCCCCTTTACAAACTAACTGCTAACAGGGCTGGTGGTCCAGATGGAGTCCTCGTGGATGTGAAACAGGGACACCTACAGGAGGCAGCCCCTCACCCCAAACACATGCTACACAGAACGGCTGTCCCTACCCAGGTAGAGATGGGACACTACCCCAAGCAGGCCTTGCTCACGTGCAGGTGGGCACAGGGCGGGGGTCTCCTTCCACCCAGCAGCACCGGCACCATTGGAAGGGGGGGCTGGAAGGAGGTGGCTGGCACAGCTGGCCCCTAGCTAAGCAAGAGATCGCTTGGGGAAGGCTATGGAGCAAAGTCTGCAAAACAGTAAGGTGGTTTAAGGAAAATAAAATCAATCCCACAAAATGCATTATTTTTTCCAAGTCCAAACTCCTGGCGGTACCCAGTGTACATCATTCTCTGACGGCACCCAATAAATGCCAGTAAAGTCGGGAAGAACGCTTTCTTAACATGGAACTTGGCGCCCCGCTCTTGACGCAGTGGCAAGGAGCTCTCGGCTGTGCGCACACGGGCGGTCCGCAGCGACTCGGATGCGCGAAGCAGCGGTAGCAGACAGAAGCAAGTGCACCAGAAATGAGTAACCTCTAAAGTATCGGGAATTATAGTGAATGAAATGTCCCTCAAAGTCCCTTCGTCACCTCCAAGCAACACCCCGTGTGCAGGCAGGCGCTGGGCCCATCTCGCTAGGCAGACTTCTCGGCAGCCTCGGTCTCCTGCTCGGACAGCTTCTCCTCCGACAGGACGGACATCCACGGCGACACGGAGCGCGTGATGCTCTGCTTGGCCAGGTTGTAGTGGTTGATGACCGTATAGAACTTCTCCCGCGCGCTTGAGTCCTGCTCGGAGTAGTAGCTCTCCAAGCCCTCTGGGATGCACTGCGTGTTCTGGAAGACAAGAGCCTCCATCAGCCCGGCCCCTCAGTAGCTTCCCACTGTGTCCTCGGTGTTGTTGGAGCATCCGAGTCCCGCCTGACTCCGTTACCCTGGGCTGCGGTCTACAGGGGCAGATCCCCAGGTCTTTCTTCCACAGAGCCACTGGCACGTTTGAACTGCCAACCCTTTGGTGAGCAGTGAACACCTCACCACTGCACCACCAGGGAACCTCCAGTATGTTCTAAAAATCATCCCCTAAACATTTTGCATGCCCACCAGAGACCACCGCTCAGCTGCAGGAAGGGGCAGTGCTGGAGGCAGAGAGAGCAGCTTCCCGGCTAGGACACAGCAGGCCCCCAGTGAAAATGCTAGAAACCCGCAGAGAAGTGATGTCCTAGACCACATGCTAACACGACATGTGGCTTGTATGGCGTGTGGGGAATTGGCAAGTGCATGGAGACCCAAGGGGGGGGATGGGAAAGGGGGCCTGGGGATGGGAAAGGGGGGCTGGTGATGGGTGGTCTGTGTGATGCTTGGCTGTCTTTTGAATCTTGGTTTCCCTGGCATACCATTATAGACACTGGAGGGGGAGAGAAAGAAATAGCCAGAAATATCACCATAGAAAGCGTTTTAAGTCTGTCTTCTGCCTATAACTAATTGGAATACCTAAAATGGGGCTACAATGTGCCCAGTGAAGGAGGCTTCCTGTTGAGCCTCTGCATTACATAAGACCATAGGTGGAATCCTGAACCCCATCCAGAATCTTCTTAGGTGGGAAATTTCCACTTGAAAGGACAAGTAGACCAGCCTGGAGTGGCTAGAAGAACAGAAGATACTTCTTGAAAGAAAGAACAACAGGAAAAATACAAAACAATAAAGGCAATCCGACTGATTTCTACAAGAACAAGCAAGTTGCTCGCCCAAGAGACATCAAGCCAAGTGGTCGGGTCCCCTCAGAGCAAACCCCCTTCCAAGACTAACACTCAATGGAAATACACGCTCTGATTGGTGACCACGTTCATCACCGATAAGGGGAAGTGAGAGAAAAACAGCAATGAAGCTGTGAGCTAAGCCCTACAATGTTCAATAGACTCCTGTGAATCCGAGTGGAGACCTGGTGGCCAGCAGTGTTGCAAGACCTGGGGACTCTTGGGCCCAGAGTCAGTGATATAGCCACAGAGGACTAGAGTGGAGAGTGAAGCATGCAGCTGATAAGAAGAGAGGGCATATGCACAAGAACACTCACACTTGCAGATAATACCCACTTGACCTGGCTTCATTGCCTGGATGATCAGAGCTCAACTAGAAGAAGAAAGTAGAGGAAAAAAAGAGTAATCTGATACAATTTGATGAACTTGACCTATACCTGTGGATGCAGTAGCTCAAAAGAGGGACAAATGTTTACAGAAAAGATCATTCCCACCGCCTCCATACACAGAGTAGACAGGGATGGGCAACTTGGACATTGGCTACCCAAAATTGGGGAGCGGGGGGGAATACAAAGACAAGAAGTGACTGGCTTACAAGCTTTCAAGAAGGAACCTAGATCCCGGGACCCTAGCCAGAGAAGCAGCAATGCCTGAGATG